AAAAATATTAAATGCCTGCGGGGAGGGGCCCCCTGCCATATTGACCATGTCACATTAAGTGTTGGCACTTAGTTTTGAGTTTGAGTACAAGCAGCATCTTTAACTGATCTCCCCCATCACAGGTACTCACGAGACAGGAACAAGTAAGTACTGAGTATGTTGTATTGCTCCTGAGCTAGAGGATCTTTGCTCCTTTGAGAAAAAATATTTTCTTTTAGCCTTTGAGAAGAAATGCATTTCAATAAGTCACTTTATTAAGTGTTGGCACTTAGTTTTGAGTTTGAGTACAAGCAGCATCTTTAACTGATCTCCCCCATCACAGGTACTCACGAGACAGGAACAAGTAAGTACTGAGTATGTTGTATTGCTCCTGAGCTAGAGGATCTTTGCTCCTTTGAGAAAAAATATTTTCTTTTAGCCTTTGAGAAGAAATGCATTTCAATAAGTCACTTTTGTTTTGTTAGGGTCATTCCAAGAAGAGAAAGGAGAACCGTGTATGAAGTTTTTCCACGTGGCCAGTGGAGTAGATGGAGACACAGCATCGTCAGATGACTTTGACTGGCCGCGGTGAGCAGTCAAATGTATAGCTTTCATGGGATTTTTCTTTTTCTTTTTCTTTTTTTCTTTTTTCTTTGGGGCGCTATAGGGCGTGTGCACTTGCCAGAAAGTCAGAGAGACAGAAAGTGAGAAATCACCCCCTCCGGGGGGGATGGCCACACTGCAATCCCTTCTCCTCCATTCTCCTCTTGGGATCTTGGGCACGCATGCACACACAACCGGCGTGAGTTTAAGCCACTGGGTCCAGGACTCTAACCACGGTCGACCATATGGGAGTCCAGTGACATAGCCATTACATCAACTACGAGTCCCTTAACAGGATTTTTCTTTCAACGATACTGTAGTTCCTTTTATTTATTTTTTTTAATTATTATTTTTTTGATAGTTTTTTTGCTATAGGGTGCATGCACTCACCAGAAAGAGAGAGACAGACTGAAAGCGAGAAATCACCCCCTGGGGGGATGGCCACGCTGCAATCTCCTCTCTTCCATTCTCCTCCCCACAATTCCCTCTCCTTCATTCTCCTCCCACGATCTTGGGCATGCATGCACGTACACCCAGTGTGAGTTTAAGCCACCAGGTCCAGGACTCAAACCGCGGTCAACTACATGGGAGTCCAGCAACATAGCCATTATGCCATCTGCTGGTCCCATACTGTAGTTCTTATACCTGGCATTTTAGCTATTACACTAAAAATATCCAGCTTTGATGAGAAAACCCAGAAGAAGATAAACTAATCAGATAAAAAAACAAATATTGCATGCTACTTCATGAAAAGTGTGTGTTCGATACTGTGAAAGAGAGAAGGAAATATAAAATGTGTTCTTTGGTCTTAAGTTACCTAGTCTAGTTAGAGGGACACAGGATCATTCAATCTTTTTTTTTTTTTTTTTCCTAAATATTTGGTATGGGGTACGTGGGCTCATGAGAAAGAGACAGAGAGGGAGAGGGAGAAATCACCTCTCAGGGGAAATGGCTACCCTGCAGTCCCTTCTCCTCCATTCTCTGCTTGGGATTTTTGGTATGCATGCACATGCACCTAGTATGATTTTCAAGCTGCTGGATCCATGACTTGAACTATGGAGTCGGCTCTGTGAGATCCAGCTGCCTTAACCTCCATGCTACCTGCTGGCCCTCATAAAGGTTTTTTTGTTTTGTCTTGTTTTTTTTAAAGAGATTTTTGCTATAGGGTGTCTTCGCTCACTGGAGAGGCAGAGATAGAGAGAAAAAGTGAGAAATCACCTCCCCAGAGGGATGGCCATTCTGCAGTCCCTTCTGTTTCATTCTCCTCTTGGGATTTTGGGCACATACGTACACATGCCAGTGTGAGTTTCTAGCTGCCAGGTCTGAGACTCAAATCATGGTCGACCATGTAGGAGACTAGTGACAATCATTACATCATCTTCTGGTCTTGTTTTCGTTTGTTTGTTTGTTTGTTTAAGAGTTATTTATTTAATTATATTTACTTTTATTATTATTCAATCTGATCAGAGAGAGAGAGACATACACAGAGGGAGGGAGGGTAAGAAAGCGAACTGCTAGGTCTGGGACTCGAACAACAGTCAGCCATGTGCGAGTCCAGCACTTTAACCACCACGCCACCTGCTGGTCCCTTATTAAATATTTTAAAGACACTTCAGGCTGTAGTTGAAGAGATTTCAAAAGGTGTCATTTGGTTAGTTGTCAAATGAGTTTTATATTCAGTTTTATGTCTTAGGACATTTTTCAGATCTGGGGAGCTTACAATATACTGTATCTTGGGCTTCATCCGGAGAATCTGGGATAGGACCTGGGTATCAGTGTATTTTTTAAATTATGCCGGATGTTTCCAACATGCAGCTGAGATTTGACCACCACTCCTCCAGGACTTCTTAGGCAGGAGAACTCATTTCTTTAAACACATTAACTTGATAGTAGGCTTGGATCATATTTAAAAGAAGAAGTTAGTTTACTTGAAACAGTGGTCCATCATTATGGACTACTCACTGAAAGCTGAGTATCTGAAGGCTGAGAATTAAAGCAGTTAATTAGTGCTGTTTTTCTGCCTGTCTTCTTTTACACCTCCCTGCTATGTTAGATCCATCAAATTCTTAGGCATTTTCAATACATGCCTGATAATGAGCATGAGTTTTTATGGTAGCTGGATCCACTTCAGAGCCCAGGTGCAGTGGTGCTGCAGTGCTCTGTTACACTGGGAGCCATAGGGAAGACTGGGGTTTGGCACCCAGGTGGACTTGACGTGCCAGTGCAAGTGGCCATCATCCTGGCTGGCTGAAAGAGGAGGACTGTGTTGTGGGACCCACTGAGGTTCTTTCTCTTACAGCAAATAAACTTAAAAAAGGAATTGGATCTATTTCAGTTGTGTTCTTTGGAAGCATGGTTTGCATTAGGATATCTGCAAACTAGGAAACAGTTGGTGATAGTTTACTAGAACGAATAGCACCATCTAGTTAGGGGACAAGAAGTTGTTATAGGTGTGACACAGTCATTTCGTTTGAGGGTTCCATGCCCTGTCCTAATAATGGGTTGGCATAGTAATAAAAAGTAAAAAGCTCGTGCTGGTAATGCTCTTCTGACTAATGATGGGATTATTCTGGAGCTTTAGCTTTTATAGTCAAAGTTTGCATTAACTCCATGATATTTAGGGTTTATAGCTACAAAACAATAGCATAAGCCCTTTACTGACATTTCTAGAGGAAAAGATAACTTTGTTGTTGCTGTTATTAAAGTTTCCTAATCAATGTCTTTTCTTTCTTTTTTTTTTAATCAGCCAGAGTGTGGGTACACTTGTGAAGGTGAGATGGGAGGGAGAGAAAGCATTCCCCATGGGAATGGCCATGCCTCAATCCCTTTTTGTCACTTCTTTATCATTAGGATTTTTTAAAAATTTTTGCCAGAGGGCATGTGTACTCACTAGTAGAAAGAGACAGAAAGCACCCCTAGTTGGACGTGGTCACACCACAGTCCCTTCTTCTTCAATAGATGGAGAAACGGGCTCTTAAGCATACACGCCTGGTGTATTTCTCACATTGTGCAGTTGGCTATGTGGGATCCAGCTCCCTCAATCAGTAGGCCCCTGGATCAGCCCTATCATTAATATTTTATCATTGGACTCTTTTTTTTTTTTTTTTTTTTTGGAGAAATTTTCACTGTAGGGCGCGTGCGCTCGCCAGACAGACAGAGAGAGACATAGAGACAGAAAGCGAGAAATCACCCCCCAGGGGGGATGGTCACGCCGCAATCCCTTCTCCTCCATTCTCCTCTCGGGATCTTGGGCACGCACGCACACGTGCCCGGCGTGAGTTTTAAGCCACCGGGTCCGGGACACAAACCGCGGTCGACTACGTGGGAGTCCAGCGACATAGCCATTACGCTAACTGCTGGTTCCCATATTTTATCATTGGACTCTTCACATGCATGTCTTGGCTGATGCTCTCAAGAGCATCAACGATGCCAAAAAGAGAGGCAAACACCAGGTTCGTACTAGGCCACACTCCAGAGACATTGTCCAGTCTCTAACTGTGAAGATGAAACATGGTAACACTGACTAATTTGAAATCATCGTTGATTGCAGAGCTAGAAATATTGCTATGAACCTCACTGACAGGTTAAATAAATGTGGAGTGATCAGCCCCAGTTTTGACGTGCAACTCAAAGATCTCGAGAAATGGCAGAATAATCTTCTGTCAGGTTGGTTTCATTGTCCTAACCAGCTCAGCTGGCATCACGGACCATGAAGAAGCAAGATGGAAACACACAGGAGGGAAAATCCTGGGTTCTTTTTGTAGGGATGTAATGCACACATACAAATAAAATGCCTCAGTAGACTAATCATGTACTCAGTGGTCTTTGTATTAATTTGCACAAAAGTTAGTTTTGCTATTTACACTTAGATTTTGGTCTTTCTTGTTGTATTTGTTATCAGAATTGTACTGAAAATAAATCCACCAGCCATGCATTCCATTTTGGAGCGAATAGCAGCCGAGGAAGAAGAGGAAAATGATGGGCACTACCAGGAAGAAGAGGAAGGAGGCGCTCATTCCTTGAAAGATGTCTGTGACCTGAGAAGACCAGCCCCATCTCCTTTTTCTTCTCGTAGAGTAATGTTTGAAAATGAACAGGTAAAGTAAAATTTGAGCCAGGGTGGAATGCTGTTATCCTATGCCATATAGCAATAGTTTCAATATTTTATCTTTAAAAAAAATCGTGTATTATTTTTGTTAGGTTTTAACTCCAAATTTGAGTAATATAGGTTGAACATCCCTGACTTAAAAATCTAAATCTGAAAAGCATCAAAATTGGAACTTTTTGAGTGCTGAAATGACGCCACAGTGGGTCATTCCACACCTGACTTCCACGGCGGGCTGTAGTCAAACTCTGTAATACAGAAATGTTGTGTAACACTGCTTTCAGGGGATAAAGTGTATAAAAACATAAAAAGTGAATTTTATGTTTAGACTTGGGTCCCATTCCCAACATACTTTATTATGTATATGTAGATCTTTCAAAATTTGAAAAAGTCTGAAATCCGAAACATTTCTGGTCCTGAGCATTTCAGGCAAGAAATACCCAACGCGAAGCTATTTTTTCTTTGATGTGTATCTTCCCCAGGTAAACGTTACATGTTTATTTTACTTGCTTACATACCAAGTTCTATGGACAGATTAAGAAGGTACTACTATTTTAAACATGAAATGGTTATTTGATGCCTCTTCTTTGCACTAAACTATTATGTTTTAGATGGTGATGCCAGGCGACCCTGTAGAAATGACAGAGTTTCAGGATAAAGCAATCAGCAATTCTCACTATGTGCTGGAACTTACGTTACCAAATATTCATGTAATACTACCTAATAAAAGCTTTTATGAGAAGCTTTATAATAGGTGAGTTTAAGCACATTGAATTGAATCAGACTGTCTGCCTAACTGCCACTGTTTCCCTTCTTCCTCCTTTCTTCCCTCGCTTTACTGTTATCTGCTGTCCCTGTGTGTCTGTGGCGTTGGCGGTGACTGGCACGGTCACTGTGAGGTTGTGCTGTTGCTGCCGCAGTTGTCCAGCACTGGGTGACGGGGGTGGAGGTGCTCAGTCACTCAGCCCTCAGGGTGGCAGCTTTTCCTGTCAGCCGACCACAGGACTACCAGTGGGGCTGTCTTCTGCAGGAGCGGTGTGGTGCGGAGAGTTACTGCCGCGGGAGTCTGGATGAGGGTGGCCAAGCTGGAATCCGAATCCAGAGTCGCCCTGAGGGGTGCTCTTTCCTCAGAATTCAGGAAGCCATCTTGTTGGAATTCCACCTTTATAAACTTGTGTACAAAAATTTAAACTTACTTCATCTGAATACATGTCAACATACATACCATGCAGTTATTGAAATAAATGAAATCCGGGTCATAGACTGTTGACCTTGCACCGTTTACCAGCCTCAGTATGCCTCAGTTTCCCATCCTATGAAACGGACATGACGCTGGTGCCTGCCCCGAAAGGTAGTTTGGGGGAGCAGATGATACAGCACTCGGAAACTCGGAGGACAGTGTCTGGTGCGCAGTAAGCACTTACTGTTAGGATGCCCACTGACTTAGAGGATGTCTCCCGCAGCTCGCCTGAAAGCCAGTTGCTAGGTCTAGTGCCCATCTCAGTTTCCCATCCTATGAAACGGACATGACGCTGGTGCCTGCCCCGAAAGGTAGTTTGGGGGAGCAGATGATACAGCACTCGGAAACTCGGAGGACAGTGTCTGGTGCGCAGTAAGCACTTACTGTTAGGATGCCCACTGACTTAGAGGATGTCTCCCGCAGCTCGCCTGAAAGCCAGTTGCTAGGTCTAGTGCCCATCACCACCAGCTTCCCTCATCTAGACAAGTTACTCTCATTTTGATTCATCTTCAGAACCTCCCCTGCCGTGTCTGCTGCAGGCTCGCTGGGTGTCAGAAATGCCTGGCCCTTTATTCCTTCCCTGTTAATAGTGAACTCGGGGCCTTGTCACTGACCGCTATCAACTGTTGGTCTTAGAATAAAAAAGTAGGTTCCAGAGAGGAGTCTAGGGTCCCTAGTAGTTCAGTGGTCTTGAAAATGAGATCTGCAGGACAGTCCATTTGGGTATAGAAAGAAAATGTTAGAACGTCTATTTAACATTAAAACAAAACAGAACTTTAAAATCTTTAGTTTTTAATTTGTTTTATATATTCTTAGCAAATAGTAGTGCATAATTGATAAGTCCACATCTGAGGAGTTCGATATTTTTTGACTATTGAGATTTGTTCACACCAGATCTCAGGTTCGGAAACCAGTGACCTCTAGTCTCCCGCCCTGTGCCGTAGCTGAGGGCGTCTGCGATGCTGACACATGGGCAAAGCTGACTGATGGAATGACATGACCCGTCCCAGGCCCTGGCCGGGCGTCAGAAGGGCTGGGCCGCTTGTTTCGCTTTCTGCGTGGATTGAGTGGGTTAACTGAGGACGTGAAGAGAACTATATTCCTTAAAAGTTTCCATTATAAATTATATTCATTTACTGTGTTTTTTAAAAATAGAGGACAAATCCCTTTCTTGGAATATAAGCCACTGATTAGAAATCTTCCTTCCCTTTTTTGGCAGCAAGTATGCCCAGAAGGCATTGTCTATAGTTTTAGTTTTGTTTTCTGTAAAGTGGAGTGAAAAATGTTCAAAGTGATCCGAGAACAGAATCCTTACAGGTTTTTAAGACTATTTTTCATTTGGTCAGCCCTGTATTTAATTGAGCTAAAATTAGAATAACAAATGCAGGGCTAGCCAGTGGTATGGCAGTTAGGGTGGCTGGATCCCACAGGCTAGTGGCATGGTCCCAGACCTAGTAGCTTATGCACACATGCTTAAAATCCCAAGGGGAGAGTAGAGGAGAAAGGATTGCAGTGTAGCCATTCCCCCCACCCCCTGGGGGTGGAGGTGGGGAACTGATTTCTCACTTTCCCTCTCTCTCTTCCTCTGCCTCTCTGGTGAATGCTCGAGCCATGTAGCAAAAATAAAAAAAAAAAAAAAAACCAAAAAAAACCCCAAATAGAAGCAGAAACTTTTCACTCTTGATGAATACCTGAAACTCGTAACTCAGCTGGTAGGAACAGACGTTTCCAGGTTTGCTAGCGTAGTCTAACAGTGGCAAGCATGGCATATGGGGTCATAATGGCACTCAGCGGAGTTGAGTAGTTGACTGCCCAAGCCAGAGAGATAGAGTAGCTTTAATCTGCGTGGCCAGTTTAAACGGGTGTCACTTGAGGGCTTCTGTTCTATATTCTGCTCTTCTCCTTGATCTCTCAGGCCCTGGGATACTCAGATGCTCCTTTGGTCTGTGGATCGTGGGAAGTCTCATGTCTGACTTCTTCAGTGTGTGAAATCCGTGCCCTTTATCTGGCCTTGTATTAATTAGTAATAGGTTAAAAATTGCCAAACAGTCTCAGGCTTAGAGAAAATGTGTAAGTACAGTGCAAAGAGCTTTTTTCCCTCTAAACTGTTTGTTTCTTACCTGATGCTTCTCTGACCTTGACTACTTGAATGTGTATTTCCCACAGACAAGGACATTCTGACCGTAACTGTAGCTTAGCCTTCCAAATCCGAAATCACTAGTGAGACATAGTGGGCCAGCAGGTGGCATGGCGGTTAGGGCACTGGGCTCCCACAGGGCCAACTGTTTTGAGTCCCAGATCTGGCAGCTTGCTTTTTTACTTTCTCTCTCTCTCTCTCTGGTGGGTGCACTTGTCCTGTAGCAAATTAAAAAGAAAAAAGAAAAAAAGACAAACTTAAAATAATTATTTTAAAAATAATAATGACACATTGTACCATCAGGTCCTCATACCTTGTTCAGGTTTCACTGAATGACTCAATAATGTCCTTTTATCTTTATTTTAAATCTTGTCTTTCTGAGCACAAATGACAGCCATGGTGCCTTTACTTCATACATTTAAAATACTGGTTTACTGCTTTATGCTTTCATCAGTTGACTCGTTTTACAAAGACAGTTTCAGGTGCAGAATTTTTTCAGTCAGAAGTCTTGAAGAATATAAAAACAAAACAAAACAACTCAAGCTGTTTTTTTTTTTTTTTTTTTTTGAGAGGGTTTTTCTATAGGGTACATGTGCTCACCAGAAAGACAGAGACAGAGAGAAAGAAAACAAGAAATCACCCCCTGTGGGGATGGCCTCGCCATAATCCCTTCACCTCCACTCTCCTCTCGGGATCTTGGGCATGCATGCACACGCGCCCAGCGTGAGTTTAAGCCACTGGGTTCGGGACTTGAACTGCAGTCGACTACGTGGGAGTCCAGCGACATAGCCATTATGCTAACTGGTCCCATCAAGCTGGTTTTATGAAATCAACTCTATTGAGCACCTATTATGTTTCCTGCTCATGGGTGTAGCATCATGGCGTGTGTCTCTCTCGGTAGTGGAAATATCATCCAGTGTTTTATAGTGTTGTGGTGTCAAGGCTATATTCAGACCAAAAATATTTATAAGGGAAAACATAGCAAAATCATAAGAAACATACATTTGCAAGACATATATATGAACTCTAGATTTATTTAAAGTACTAGCTTCTATTTCAGCTATGAAGGTAAGAGAATGCTTATAAGAAGAGCATTTATTGAGCAAATTCTTCCTTTTATATCTTTATTGCTTACACATATACATAGGCATTTAAACCAAGATCTGACTGATCTGGATTGATATTCTTGTTTCTTTGTCCCGTGACATGCCCAAGAAGCAGCGAGTCACATTTGTACCACAGAATGGGACGTTGCTGTCTGAGGTGTGACATCTTGCCGTCTTGTAATCCTGGCATCCTCAACATGGTGGTGCTTCCATGGGTGGGGAGTCACAGTACTCAGTCCTGGTTTGTACTTTCTAGGGGTTCAGGAACTCTGGGATGGGTCTGGAGAGAGGCCTCTCACAGGAGTGGGCAGGGCCCACTGACTCACCGCTGGCACCTCAATGGGCTCTCTTGTGAGGCTGTACGATGAGTCTGCTTGGCAGTCCTTCCCTGTGAGTCACCCCCTCGTCCTCCTCAGCCATCAGCGCCTGCTCTGTGGCGACCACTGCTCAGCTTGTACTGGGTTGATCAGACACAGTTGTGTGCTCAGTGGGGCTTGCAGTCTGGTGGGGGAGGGAAGGAAAGACTGAGGGTCACAGGTGCCATGACAGAAGTAGGCACGGGGAAGGACAGCCCTGGGTCTATGTTTACCAGAAGACTTCTTAGAGGACATTGGCAAGTGTGAGCTTTCTTGAAAACTTAGATGAGGGGAGGAGACTAGGCCAGAAGGACGTCTATGTAGTTGGTATTTCTTTGGAAAAGTAGGGTGCAGTTGTAGCCTAGGTGTGATATCTGTCACACACTGGTTGTCAGTATTGCTTGGCTTAGTTAGAAGGTCTCGCCTCTTCTTATTCTGTTATGTGTGTTCTTCACCTCATGAAATCTTTCCAGTGAAGCTGTGCTCCCCATAGAACAGAGAAAGCCGATCTCTCTCAGGAAGGAACTAAATTGGGAGCTAGGCATAATCTGGACTCTCATCAGCTTGTCCTTGCATTAGCTCAGGGACCTTGGGCAGGTCACTTATCTTTGATGAGGCAACTTCTTCCTCCTTTTTAAGTTTTGCTATAGGATGCATGTATTCACCAGAGAGAGAAAACGAGAGAGAGAGAGAGAGAGAAATTGAGAGAGAGAGAAAAATCACAACCCTGGGGAGATGGCCACACCACAGTCTCTTATCTTCCATTCTCTTGGGATTTTAGGCATGCATGCATATGTTCCCAGCATGAATTTCAAGCTGCCAGGTCTGGAGCTTGAACCACAAAGTTGACCATGCGTTATCCAACCACCTTAAACTCCATACCACCTGCTGGCCCTATGAGGTCCTATGAGACAACAACTTTTTTTTTTTTTTTTTTTTTTTTTAAGAGAGATTTCTTTTCTTTGTAGAGCACATGTGCTGGCCAGAGAGATCGAAAGTGAGAAATCACCCCTCTGGGGGATGGCCATGCTGCAATCCCTTCTCCTTCTTTTACCTTTTGGGATTTGGGGCATGCACACACACGTCTGGCATTGAGTTTTAAGCCGCTGGATCTGAGACTCGAACTGTGATCAACTATGTAGGAGTCCAGTGATGTAACCATTATACCATCTGCTGTTCCCAAGACAGCTTCTTTTAAGGGTAAAGTGAAACTGAGGATTCACTTCTGGCCAAGGGTTGCGGGAGTGTGAGATGAGACCGTGCATGCTGAGCTGTGGCTTAGGAGGGCACTCCTCCATGCGGTCTCTTCCCTTCCTCTCTGTGGGCGTTTATTTTTAATCACCTCCCTCTTTAACACATTTAGATGTGTGAAGTGAGTTTGTAATTTGATGCATATAACACAGGCAAAACTAGGCAATTAATCTACTTAGGTATCTAACGACACAGAATTGCCTTTTTACTGCCCTGCATTATAACCGTATTAGTGATTTTTTCCATTGAGAGAACATAATTCTTGTCCTTCCTAAAAACCATTTTTATGGGATCTAGCTTCCATTTCACCATTTCAAAAAAAATATTGTTTATGTGTGCTTTTATAGGGATAGTCTAGTTTGCTTTCATTGAACTAGGAGTTGCATACTTATTTTTCACCTTTTATCTTGTAGGATCTTTAATGATTTGTTGCTGTGGGAGCCAACAGCCCCTTCACCAGTGGAGACGTTAGAAAATATTTCCTATGGGATTGGACTTTCAGTAGCCAGTCAGCTGATTAATACCTTCAACAAAGATAGCTTTAGTCCATTTAAGTCAACAGTTCACTATGGTAATGTCTTTTCAATTTGTTCTGAATTAAAATGCCTAGTTTATCGATTAACAAAGTAGTAACCTTTTCAATTATGGATTTTAACATTGTTCCTTTGACTGTATTTTTCATTTATAACTGTATTTATAGTGGTTAAGTAATGTATAAGACTATTTCCCCATTTCTGTCAGGGAATAGCATTACCACTTCACTGTGTTGTCTGTACAGTGCTAGTGTACATGTTGTCTGAAGTTTATAGCCGAAGAGAAAAAACACAGAAAGTACATCTTTATGTCACTCCATAGTCTTTGCGAAAATTAGCAGGTTATACATATAAAACAATTTTCAAGTTACTATTTTATTTTAATAGGGATCACAACCAGGTTAACTGTATGTGTATTTCTCATAGATGAGGAAAGTGGATCTGAGGAGGAGACCTTGCAGTATTTTTCTACCCTTGATCCCAGCTACCGTTCCCGTCGGAAGAAAAAACTAGACTGTCAGAACAAGAACTCACAGAGTTTCCTCTCAGTCCTTCTGAACATTAACCATGGATTAATGGCTGTGTTCACAGATGTAAAGGTTCCTGATCTAAAGTGTTTTTTCCAAATGTGCCTTATTTTAAACAAATCTACCGTGATGCATATCCAGTGATCGAAGTAGTTTGAGGTTTTTTTCAGTGACTGAAAAAGTGTTTTGAAAAAAAACTGTGTTCTGTTTTGGGGACCAGCAGTTGGTGTAATGGTTGTGTCGCTGGACTCTCATGTAGTCGTCCATGGTTCAAGTCCCGGATCCGGTGGCTTAAACTCATACCGGGTGCGTGTGCGTGCCCAAGATCCCAAGAGGAGAATGGAGGAGAAGGGATTGTGGCGTGGCCATCCCTACTGGGGGTGATTTCTTGCTTTCTGTCTCTCTGTCTCTGTCTTTCTGGCGAGTGTACATGCCCTATAGCTAAAACCTCTCCCTGCACCCCCCCCCCCAAAAAAAAAGCATGTTTTGAAAAGAAAAGTGAGACAGTGAAGTCCAGAGTTCTGAGGCATGGAAACGAGGATGGCAACTTTAGGAATTCAGCCCTCACTGGAGATCAAACTTTGTATTGTGTTCCTTTTGGGAAATGAGTGCGAATTTGCTCCTAGGGTGGGAATTGGTGATCTATCGTGAAGGAGGGTGAAGAACAGGGTTCATTTGGCAGAAGAGGTTCCACATGTACTTAGATCGTTAAGTTTTTAGTGCCACTGTGGAATGGTTCAGAAATTCTACTGTGCTGCAGTATGGAGGTTTTTTTTAGCTGAATCAAGAAGGGCCATTCCCAGGTCAGCAGGGTGTGTGGTGGTTAAGTGCTCCCACATGGTTGGCCACAGTTTGAGTCTGGACCTGATGGCTTGAACTCATGCCAGGCCTATGTGCGTGAGGGCCCCAAATCCCGGGAGGAGAATGGAGGAGAAGGGATTATGCTTTGGCCATCCCTCCTGGGGGGTGATTTTCTGTCTGTTTTTCTGGTGAGTGCATGCGCCCTATAGAAAAATTTCTCACAAGGAACAAACACAGGACTCACAAGGCAGTCTCACTTTTCTGCATTAAAAGAATGACTTCTGTGTTTTCCATCTTTTTTTAGCAAGATAATGGAGATCTGTTGGAGAACAAGCATGGCGAGTTCTGGCTAGAGCTCAGCAGTGGCTCGTTATTTTGCGTGACAAGATATGAAGGTTTTGATGACAAGCACTACATCTGCCTTCACTCTAGCACCTTCAGTCTGTACCACAAAGGTAGGACGGGTGCTCGTTCCGTTTGCTTCTGTTTAACCGTCTTTAAATTGCTTTAATAAAGAAAATCAATTGAGAATAGAACTTTGATACTAGATATTATTTTCTGTAAGGGGTTTTCATTTCTCTGTTAAACTGATAACTGTGACAGACCAGCAGTTGGCGTAATGGCTATGTCGCTGGACTCCCGCATAGTTGACGGTAGTTTAAGTTCTGGACCCGGTGGCTTAAACTCACGCCAGGTGCATGTACGTGCATGCCCAAGATCCCGAGAGGAGAATGGAGGAGAAGGGATTGTGGCGTGGCCATCCCCCCTGGGGGGTGATTTCTCGCTTTCTGTCTCTGTCTTTCTGGCAAACACACACACCCTATAGCAAAAAAACCCAAAAAACAAAAAAACTTCTCAAAAAAAAAAAATTGATACTGTGAGTTAGAAGTCAACTTTATGTTCTTTTTTGGTGACAGCTTTACCAAGATGCAATTCACATACTGTGCAATTTGCCCATTTAAAGACTACTTTGTGGGTTCACCAGATGGTGTAATGGTTACATCACTGGGCTCCCACATGGCCTACCACAGTTTGAGTCCCAGACCTGGTAGCTTGAAACTCACGCTGGGCACGTGTGCATACATGCCCAAGATCCCAAGAGGAGAAAAAAGGGGAAAGGATTGCAGTGTGGCCATCCCCCCCGGGGTTGACTTTTAAGAGTACTTTGCAATGGTTTTTAGTATTTCACAGAGTTGCACAACCATCACTGGAGTCCATTTGAGAACATTCTTGTCATTCCAGGAAGAAACTCCCCTCATCTCCCCAGCCCTGAGCAACTACTCATTTCCTTTCTTTTTTTGGGAAGGATTTGCATATTCTGGAAGTTTAATACAAATGGAATCATACAAGTTTGTGACTGGGTTCTTTTATTCGACATGGTGTCGTCAAGGATCATTCAAGTTGTGTCAGTCCTTCACTCTTTTTTATTGCCCAGTGATGTCCCATCATGTAGATAAACCATATCTTACTCCCTGTTCATCAGGGGACCACTTCTCAGTCTTTATTCTCTCTTCAGGAACATTCCCTTCTTGTTTCTGATATGAAATTTAGTGCATTTTGAGCAGTTGCCTGAGTTACCTTGTGACTAGACCTAAGATACTTACACATTCTTAACATTTATGAGTTTTAACATCAATTTTCCTATTGCACTAGAACTTGGCTTTTATTTTTTTTTTAAATAGTGCAATATCAATTATATCAACATAGCAAAGAGGATTGGATTATTAATGGCCAGCCTGGTTCTTGGTTCTCTTGCTTACACGATAATGTTTTATTCAATGGAAGTACGTGGATTTTTGTTTTGAGTTATAGAAGTCCATGAACTAATTTCAGGTAATCACGTGTTACTGTTTCCACCCTGATGTTGTTCTAGGCATAGTAGATGGAGTGATTCTTCCTGCAGAAACACGACTGCCCAGTCCAACCCGGCCGCACTGGTTGGAGCCCACCATTTATTCCTCTGACGAAGATGGCCTTCACAGAGCGTCTGCAGATGGCGTTGGCGGAGAGAGTTCGAATATGCTCTCTGTTGCAGTGAAAATATTGTCTGATAAATCAGAGTCCAATACAAAGGTTTGTTTTGTGCTTTTATAGCCTTAAATACTTCTATTGATTTGATTACTAGCCAAAGATACATAAAAGGCAACACTTTTATTTTCATGAAAACACTTTGAAGTTATAGGTGGTAAGTGTAGCTCTTCGTTGTCATTCTGTGTAGGAGTTTCTCATTGCCGTGGGACTGAGAGGAGCCACTCTCCAGCACAGAATGCTCCCCTCCGGGCTTAGCTGGCATGAGCAGGTAAGAGAGCCACTGTGTACGTATCAGTTTATTTTAAAGTTTATGCTGATGTAGAGTTCTGAAAAGTTCCTAAGTCATGAATTACCCACTCTATGAATTAGGATGAAGTGAATACTACTGTCTAACCACTGCTTAGGTTATGAAATAGAACATTATTATCACCCCAGAATGTAACTGATTTTCTTTCTTTTTGTATTTTTTTTGTTTGGATTTTTGCTGTAGAGCCTGTGAACTTGCTGGAGAGAGAGAGAGGGAGAAAGAGAGACAAAGAAAGAGAGGAGGGGAAAGTGAGAAATCAACCCCCTGAGGGGGATGGCCATGTGGCAATCCCTTCTTCCTCCATTCTCCTCCCGGATTTTAGGCACACATGCACACACACACAGCATCAAGCAGCCAGGTTCAGGACTCAAACTGAGGTTGACCATGTGGTAATCGAACCACTTTAGCCACCATGCCACTTGCCGGCCCCCGTAACTGATTTTCTTTCTTTCTTTTTTTTTTTTTAAATTTTATTCATTCATTTATTTTGGAGAGAGAGAGAGAGAGCGAAAGAGAGAGAGAAAGTGAGAAAGCAAGCCATTAGGTCCGGGACTTGAACCACTGTCGGCCATGTGGGAGGGTCCAGCACCTTAACCACCACGACAACTGTC